TCATAAAAACATTTTATGAACCCTATGAAAATGTGTCTTGGAAAAATTGACCAACTTCCAAGGCTTATAACTCCACAACTATTCAAGATATCAACATGCATTGAGCAAGCTAAGTAGTCCAGAGTGTGGGCTTTGCAACGATATAACAAACACGATTTTACTATATGCCGTTCAGGAGGAGGAGATTTTTAAACACGGGCACCGTTAAAACGGACAAATCGACAAAAAAATCAGTTTTTCCAAAATTGCGGAAAATTTCTTCTGCTGCCTAACTTATTTTATGCAGAGAGGTTAGGTCAGAGCTGTGACATTTTTATGAAGTATATAAAAATGCGTTTTGACAAAACTGACCAACTTCCATGGGCAATACCTCCGACACTATTCAAGATATCGACATGCCTCGAACAAACTAAGTAGTCCGGAGTGTGGGCTTTAAAACGATATATAGAACACTATTGTACTATTTGCCGTTCAGGAGAAGAAGATTGTTAAACACAGGCACCGTCAAAACGTCCAGAAATGTGACAAATCGCAAAATTTGTGGTTGTGCCGTAATTGTGACGTAATTATTGATTTTTACATAACCATGATGTGAAGCAAAAAAGTTGCCCATTCAATTATCTACAGTTTGATATATTGAAAAATGAAATCCATTGCCTTTTCGCAGAGCTGTGACATTTTTACTAACACAATGAAAATGCGTCTTAGAAAAATTGACCAAATTCCAAGGGCGATAACTCCAAAACTGTTCAAGATATCAACATGCCTTGAACAAATTAAGGTGTCCAGAGTATGGGCCTTCTAACGGCATTTCGAACACGATTGTACTATATGCCATTCTGGAGAAGAAGATTTTTTAAGACAGGCACCGTAAAAACGTGGAAATCGGCAAAAATTTCAGTTTTTCCAACATTGCGGAAAATCTATCATGGCGGCGAACTTCTGCTATGCGTTAAATCGATGGAGAATGATGTTGTTTACATTGAGTGAAAATTTGGTTTATTTATCTCTTATAGTTTTTGAGTTATTCAGGTGTAAAGATTTTGGGTTCTCTGCCCTTACCGGAAGCAGGATTTGTTCAACATTGTATTAATTTCAGCCCACAGGCTATCATCCCTGAAAGTTTCATGAAAATCGGCCCAGAGGTTACTTCAGGGGAGCGGGTACAAAATCTGTACAAATAATAATAAGAAGAAGAAGAATATTCGGATAATAACAGTAGGTCTTCCAGACTTTCGTCTGAAGACCTAATAACAGTAAAATGTAGCGATCATATAACAAATCGAGCCAACATTTCATGATAACCATAACGGGAGACAAAAACAGCAGGAATGTCAGTGATTGCTGATCAATAAGGTCAAATCGACCTACTGTCAGAAGTTAAAATTCAAACGCCAACATTGGACTAATAACGGATGTAACCACCTCGAGCAGTAAGACAAGCAATACACCTCTGTCTCATACTGTTCACCAGACGTTGGAAGAAGGCTTGGGGTATTGTCTGCCATTCTGCAATGAGATACTGGGCCAGTTCTGCACGGTTGTTTGGAGGGGCGTGTTTGTTTCGAAGCCAACGTCCTTACTCGTCGCAAGCATGTTCCATAGGGGCTAAATCTGCTGAATATGCCGGGCATTCCATGTGCTGAAAATTGTTCTGTCTACGGAAGTCCGTCACAACACGGGCACGGTGTGGTTGGGCATTGCCACCGTGCAATATGGATCCGACGCCAGTACGTTGTAAACATGGCAAAACAAGGGGTCTGATAATCTCCCGTAGATGGCGATTTCCGGTCAGGGTACCATTAATGACATAGAGAGGTGTCCTTTGATGAAAGGAAAACGCATCCCAAACCATGACACCCCCGCCTCCAAATGGCAAACGTTGGTTGACGTTAACGTCAGCAAACCTCCCTCCTGGACGCCAATACACACGAGTTCTACCATCATTGAACTGTAGAGTAAACCTAGACTCGTCGGAGAAATGAACTGATGCCCACTGAGCACGTTGCCAACGAACATGGCGTCTACACCAGTCATGTCTTGCCATCGTGTGTCGCTGAAAGAGCGGTGGTCATACTGCTGGTCACCGTGCCCGAAGATTGTTCCTCGTCAGTCGGTTCCTGACAGTCTGATCAGATACCAGGGTACTTGTGGCAGTTCTCAGATGGTCACGGAATTGTCTGGCAGCTACTCTGCGTTGTGGGAGAGCCATATTTGTCAGGTATCGGTCTTCTCTAGGAGTTGTTGATGGAGGCCTGCCAGAACGTGGTCGATTAGTCAGCGTTCCAGTGACACGAAACCGGTGCCATAACCTTCCAATGACACTCTGACTCACATTTAGTCTCTGACCCACACTGCGTTGAGGTTCGCCATCTTGAAGCCACGCAAGAGCTCTTCCTCTGTCTGTCATGCTCAGTTGACGTCTTGCCATTGTTGAATTTCAAGTGACAATAACAATACGACAATTACAAGTTTTATAGGGAAAATAGGCATGCACAGCACTAATCCCACGAAGAACACGTGCACATGTTGTCCCTTGTAACAAACTGGGAAAAAGCACAAATATATGATGACAGTTTCTTAAACACCATTTTTATTTTATTTTTGTGACACAAATTATGCAATTTTTTTCTAGAGTTGGTCTGTTGTTTTTATTGCAGTCCGCGTTGGTTTGATTCTTTTATGTCTATTTGTTTTTGTGTTAGATTGTAATTCATCGGTATCATTTTGTCTCAAACGGACTGTAGACCCAGGGCGACAACCGCGCCTCGGGATAGACATATCCGTACTACAGCCTTAAAACATCGTGTCATAACAGCCAATCAGATTAGAGCTCGACTGCAAGCTGTTGGTGTTAGAATGAGTGACCAAACCATCAGCAATCGACTGCATGGTCAACGCACGGCGTCCTCGTGCCATTCCTGCTTTGATGGTCAGGGCAAGACGTCTTTGGTGTGCAAGCAACGCTGGGATTATCGACGTTGGAACAATGTAATGCTCTCTGATGAGTCCAGATTCGTGTTAGACTTCGATGATAGACGTAACAGGGTTCGGCGTAGACGTAACGAACGTTTCCACGATGTCAACGTCATTAGGCATGATCGTTTTGGAGGGGGTCTGTAATGCTGTGGGGTGGCATCACTGCGGCTGGAATGTTATTGCTGGACGTGGCAGCCCACGTTGTGCCATTTGCTCGACGCCATGGCCGCCGTTTCATCTTCCAAGATGACAACGCCAGATGTCACAGGGCTAGGATTGTCACTGAATACCTCCAACAGCAGAATATCACCAGATTACCATGGCCAGCCTTAAGTCCAGACCTTTCGCCCTTCGAGCATGTCTGGGACATGTTTGGACAGTGCTTACGGCGACGTCAACGACGACCCATTACTCTCCAAGAACTTGCCGCTGTATGGCAAGAAGAGTGGAATAATCTCAATCAAACTTACTTGCGACACCCCATAAGGAGTATGCACGTCGGATCCGTGCCTTTTTGGCCAACAGAGGGGGATTTACCAATTATTGACTTGGTTTTTACTATATGATAAGCTTGCAGATTGACCTTTGGTGTAGTTTGACCCATACCACAGAATGTCCTTGTTTCTCTGACATTATCAAATGTATGGAATAAAATTCCATATGGTTCCTTTACAGTTCTTCACCATTTCTTCTGTTCTCGTTTACACACGTTGCCTTTCATCAGCCATCAAAGTCCGATATCCGCTACTTTTTTGGGGATAGTATATTACTGGGATGTATTTGTAGAAATTTGGGGTTGAGTCCAATCCGGGATTTGAACCCACACTCTCAGAGTAAGGCACGTAATCGCCAGCACACAAAGTCAGCGATCTAACCCACTCAGCCAGCGGGCTGCCACCAAAATGGAAGCATCCTGGTATCCCAGATCACAGACGGAAACCGTTGGTGGGTCAAGCTACGTTTACCTTTCTCGGTATCATCGATATTTGATATTTGAGTCATGGACACATTGAAAATACTAACATATACTCTGAATTGCTCAAATAGCTCTGCCTTCTGTCAGGTGATAAACGAAAGATTCACACACATGAGACTCTCTCACTTAGAGTAGCAGGTTGACCTTGTAGTTCCTTCCCCGTCTTATTTGTTTTTGTTCAGGTTGTTTTATTGTTTCAGTAGTTTCTCCGTTGTTTCAGTAGTTTTTTCGTTTCGTTTCAGTAGTTTTTCCGTTGTTTCGGTAGTTTTTTCCGTTTCTTTCAGTAGTTTTTCAGTAGTTTTTCCTTTCGTATCAGTAGTTTTCCGTTGTTTCAAGTTTTTCCGTTGTTTCAGTAGTTTTTTCCGTTGTTTCAGTAGTTTTTTAGTTTTTTTCAGTTTCAGTAGTTTTTCCGTTGCTTCCAGTAGTTTTTCCGTTTGGTTTCAGTAGTTCCGTTTTTTCCGTTTTTTTCAGTAGTTTTTCAGTTTTTTTTCCGTAGTCTTTCCGTTTGTTGTTTTTCAGTTCAGTGTTTTTCCGTTTTTTTCTTTTTCCGTTTCATTTCAGTAGTTTTTCTGTTTCAGTTGGTTTCAGTTTTCCGTTTGGTTTCCGTTTGATTTTAATAGTTTTTTCCGTTTCATTTCAGTAGTTTTTCCGTTTGGTTTCAGTTTTTCCGTTTGGTTTCAGTAGTTTTTCCGTTTTGGTTTCGTAGTTTTTCCGTTTGGTTTCAGTAGTTTTTCCGTTTGGTTTCAGTAGTTTTAGTTTTTCCGTTTCTTTGTTTCAGTAGTTTTCCGTTTCCATTTCAGTTGTTTTTCCGTTTTTTCAGTAGTTTTCCGTTTTCAGTAGTTTTTCCGTTTCCGTAGTTTTCACTTTTTCCGTTTTTTCAGTTTGTTTTCCGTTTGATTTTAGTAGTTTTTCCGTTTGGTTTCAGTAGTTTTTCCGTTTGGTTTCAGTAGTTTTCCGTTTGGTTTCAGTAGTTTTTCCGTTTGGTTTCAGTAGTTTTTCCGTTTCATTTCACTTGTTTTTCAGTAGTTTTTCCGTTTCGTTTCAGTTGTTTCTGCAAGGCTGTGAACAACCACAACTACGGACAAGTCTTCAAAGACTTTGGCTCCATCCAGCATTGTCGGCGTCTTGTCCACTGTCCATGCAGTGCCCCGGAACTCATCACATGCGGCACGGAATGTGACCGGAAGGTCAAGGAGTGGGCGTGTGATCACGGATGTGGCGGACTTCCGGCCGGTACAAAGGTCAGGGCATCCTACGGAGCCAGTGTATGTAACTCCGGTCGTGCGGCAGACGTCTACGTGTGTGGCCAACAAAACAACTGTCAGCGTGGCTAGGTGACTCATGTTGTAATGCCTGTTACCAGATGTAGCAACTGGAGGCCTGAATAATAAAAGCATTAAAACTGCCGATATCTTGTACTCATTGCTCAGCAGTATGTCAGAACATCATGCATGGTGTCACCGACAGACTTGGAGGATCCCAGTGTTCATAACGTAGGTCTGTCATGACATTCATTTGGTCGATATTTCAAAGGCTATATTCTATCTGTATGACCTGTACACCAGTAAAATTTGAACCAGACAAACCAGTGATTAATATTACGAGTAATATCCCCACCCTCCTGTTACTGGTGGTCACAGCTTGACAATCAGGTCCTTGTACGCTGAAGGCAAGTACACATTGCTAGGGTCCAACCCAGACTCGCCATGACCATGAAGAGGAACAAAGTGAATGGATTGACAACGTTTTTATTGCAATAGATACAATTACTTGCTTGATAACGTGTTAACATCTACACCGAAAGGTGGCATCTATTGCAATAAAGAAGTTGTTTATCCATAAAATCTGTTCCTCTTCATCATACTAGCTTCTGAATGCCACTTAAAGAAGTTGCGCGATTTAGTGGCTGCCTCATACAGAGCTCCCTAAGGCATGACCCACTCACAACACACATGGGAAACCCAGCTTGAGTTTCAACCAGTGACCTTCACCTTGAATCAAGAATGGTCCTTCCAGTGTATGCTCAGGTTTGGTTCCTCATGACAATGCAACTGAGAAACTCTTGAAGTCAAAGGGGTTTTAATGTGACAGGCTAGTCACTGAGGCATTCACCACCCCAAGACATCTCTCCACACTCTGTTCAGAAGCAGAACTTGTGTACCACTGGTCTGAAGATGGAGGGGTGAGAGGTGAGTCCCCTGAAATCTGATCAAATCCAAACATGATACCAGGGGAGTAGAGAACACATCCCTGTCAAATACCGACTTCTAACCAGAAGCAGACTCCTAAGTGAATCCTGGCACTCACAAGGGACATAACACTGCACCTCTGTCTGTGTTTATGTAGATCTGCTACCTAGGTTACTTATATGATCACTCAAACAATGGGAAGTTTTAAAATAATTTTATTTCTCACAACAAAAATAATTTTAACACACACAAACAGGTTGATGTCACATGCAGATGGCCACTGTGGTGTCACAGGTTGGTGCCAGGAAATAAACTGAATAAAATAAACACAAACCAGAACAGATGCACCCACAAAAATCAGTCAAGTTAACTAGTCACTGTAATCTGAGCCCTACTTCCAATCCAGTGGATTAACATAACTATCATTATTTCCACTGTGTTTTGTCCACAAGTTGCTGAAGGTCCACAGAAATAAGTTGCATATAAAAGGATGTCCTCAGATATTTGTTTCACTGTAAAACCTTATTTGAATGAGATAGACACAGATGAATACAATGAGTGGTTACAGAAGTTACTGAAGCTCACATAAAATCCCAACTCATTCTGTTATCAGGAGCAGCACCCGGTAGACTGGAGAAATAACGAGTGAATCATATTGCCTAATCATCAAATTGTGTATACAACACATAGAGCAGTGTCATGTGTGTCACAATACAGTAAAGTTTGTGGTAAAAAAGTCTCAAGAACAGTCTAACCCCTGAGTTAGCAACACATGTGTGGAAATCGGATTCCTTCTTGTATTTTCCTACAGCTAACATATAAGGAACTTCAGCTTGTTCAGCTTGGCCTGATCAAGTGAATACTAATGCATTGCGTGACCGTGTCACAACTGGTTGGGTCTATTATTGTGAAGGGGTGCACCTTTGTCAGTTGATTGTCAACATGTCCGAACAGCCGAGACAAGATCGCCGTTTGACATCTCAGTGTCGAGAAATCGTCAGCAATGTCCTAACTTTCTTTAAAACAGAAAATACAGATAGTTTAATGTTTCCGATTCGAGCTTTTAGGCAGCGAGCAGCAGCAACTAGCGAGAGTGAATCAGATTGTGAAAGTAACTGACGTCTGTACATTGTAAAGTTAGTAATCCGAAAGGGATAGCATATGACTGTATAAACAAATCAATTAAAACATGAAATGATTGTTTTTTTCAGAACTGTTGTTTCCCGGGGACAGGTTCTGTAACAAATCCATGTATGCATGCTTCGCACAAACGCAACATTAATAACATTCTCTGCTGCCTAATTTAATGAAGTTAACTCGTCCTGTCGTTTGTGCCATTTGACATCCCGGGTTATGCATATGTAGAGTAGCTCAGGTCAAGCTGAACAAGCTGTAGGTGCTTCTATTTACTTAACATAATGATAGTAAACTCTAACTAACATCTCTACACAATGCTACCAGCTCCCAGCTCCAACATAAACACATTGCACATCAAAATCCCTGAATCAAACATGATGTAAACAGCAATGTCAAAGGAAATCTAAAAACAACAAACTAGAGCATCCAAAACAATCCAGGTAATTTATACATTCTTCCACTTACCACTTGTGTCTAGAAAACCAGATTCACATGTTAAAATAACCAGTGAGATATCTGACAAAGTATGTGATAAAATGCTGCACACAGCAAGATTATCTACAGAACATATACTATGAGCTGCAGCATAAGTTGGAGAAAAAAATGAAGGCGTAATGAGTATGTTCAGGAGGTTTGGTTCAGAGTGAGTGAGTGAGTTGTGCTCTAACACAAACAAAAGGTTTTATGCTAGCAATGTGAAGGATATTTCCAAATTTCCATCAATGAAATAATTATCTCAAATACAATTAACTACAGTGACGGGTACAACGGGTATATTTCAGATGATGAACTATTGTCCTGCCACTGCATGTGTTTGTGATGATTCAACCATTGTGACAGGACACCACATATTCATGAACACCTGGTGTCATCATCATTACCATAATATAAACACATACTTAAAGTCAGAACAGTATAACTGGACTCTTAGCTGAGGCTTTTGTCACTTTATCTAATAATTAGATTCAGAACAGGAACAGTTTGCTGCCATGTCAGGTGACTTAATAAACTTCTCTGCCCCAAATGGAAACAATAAACCGGAACTCTTAGCAGAGCTTTTGTCACTTTATCAGGATTCAGAATAAAAAGAGACTCTTACAGAGGCTTTTGATAGAGATCTAATAATGTCAGATTCAGAACAGTACAACCGGACATTTTATATATACTTATATATTTATCACTTTATAACTAATAATTAGATTGAGAACAATATAATCGGACTCTTAACAGAGCTTTTAAGTCACTTCTTATCAAAATAAATGATTCTGATCAGGAACAGTTTGTCTGCTATGTCAGGTGACACAATAACCTTCTCTGCCCCAAATGGAAAGCATAAAGGAACCAGTCAACACATGATATATATATATATTGTACTATTCAAAACAGTCCTATAACAACATTTAAGGAATGCCAGTGCTGTCAGCTGTAGTAGACACAATAAGTAATATAATAACGAGCAGATCTTCCATGCCACCTCTGAACAAAAGATTTGATGACATACCTTTTACGATTTTGTCAGAATGTTCCATACACACTGAAGCAAATGAGAAGCCAAAATTAGCCTGTTAGAAAACAGCTTTCTCAAAGCTTTACAACACTTGTTCCAAATAGTTACTTACAATAGAGGCTCTTTACAGAAAACTATTTTAACAATATACTCACAAAAAAATTGAAAACTGAAGTGTTTGTACATGAGATTGTATGACAATACTTCTGACAGCCTAAGAAAGTCCCTTCCATTTCCAATGTTATGCCGGTGAAGCAAGAGTAAAGTTTTGTTCAGAATATCCTATTCAAAGTTGTTTGATTAGGAAAATATTTTGACTGCCCTATCAGATATTCTGAGCAACGCTCTGATTGGTCAGATTCAAGGTTAGTGTGACATAACCCAACCTGGAATGTCACCAGACCTTTGCTTAGCAGTAGGGATTTTGATGACATTAACACAATCAGATGAAAACATTCAACCTCAAGTGCTCACAGAAATGACTGAAGCACACCTAAAATCCAAACACTTTCATAAAAGACTCATCACAAGCACGGATGCTTAACTATTTGCAGTGTGACAGAGCAATGATGTCTGTTGAAGAACAAAGACTAGCTGTGACAGAGCAATGATGTCTGTTGAAGAACAATGACTAGCTGTGACAGAGCAATGATGTCTGTTGAAGAACAATGACTAGCTGTGACAGAGCAATGATGTCTGTTGAAGAACAATGACTAGCTGTGACAGAGCAATGATGTCTGTTGAAGAACAATGACTAGCTGTGACAGAGCAATGATGTCTGTCGAAGAACAATGACTAGCTGTGACAGAGCAATGATGTCTGTTGAAGAACAATGACTAGCTGTGACAGATGCTGTGACAGAGCAATGATGTCTGTTGAAGAACAATGACTAGCTGTGACAGAGCAATGATGTCTGTTGAAGAACAATGACTAGCTGTGACAGAGCAATGATGTCTGTTGAAGAACAATGACTAGATGTGACACAGAGCAATGATGACAGTCAAAGAACAATGACTAGATGTCACAGAGCAATGATGACAGTCAAAGAACAATGACTAGATGTCACAGAGCAATGATGACAGTCAAAGAACAATGTCAAAGAACAAAAGAACAATGACTAGATGTCACAGAGCAATGATGACAGTCAAAGAACAATGACTAGATGTGACACAACATTGATGCCAGTCAAAGAACAATGACTAGATGTGACACAACATTGATGACAGTCAAAGAACAATGACTAGATGTCACAGAGCATTGATGACAGTCAAAGAACAATGACTAGATGTCACAGAGCAATGATGACAGTCAAAGAACAATGACTAGATGTCACAGAGCAATGATGACAGTCAAAGAACAATGACTAGCTGTGACACAACATTGATGACAGTCAAAGAACAATGACTAGATGTCACAGAGCAATGATGACAGTCAAAGAACAATGACTAGATGTCACAGAGCAATGATGACAGTCAAAGAACAATGACTAGATGTGACACAACATTGATGACAGTCAAAGAACAATGACTAGATGTGACACAACATTGATGACAGTCAAAGAACAATGACTAGATGTCACAGAGCATTGATGACAGTCAAAGAACAATGACTAGATGTCACAGAGCAATGATGACAGTCAAAGAACAATGACTAGATGTCACAGAGCAATGATGACAGTCAAAGAACAATGACTAGCTGTGACACAACATTGATGACAGTCAAAGAACAATGACTAGATGTCACAGAGCATTGATGCCTGTCGAAGAACAATGACAACCCATCACAATAGCACACTACCAGGAAACAGTAGCACCCCTCCCAGCACGGTGTCATGGCACAATATTCCAAAACGGAGCATAACAGAGCATAGAATAATTGCATAAAAGATGCACTGGCCTACTGTAACCAACATAGTCTTGTCACAGATCTTCCAACTAAACAGAACATCGGATCTTCCAACTAAACAGAAATCAGACCTTCTTCCATCTACACAGAACATCAGACCTCCACCTACACAGAACATCAGATCTTCCAACTAAACAGAACATCAGATCTTTCACATATACATAGCATTAGATCTTCCACTTAAACGGAACATCAGATCTTCCACCTACATAGAACGTCAGATCTTTCACCTACACAGAACATCAGACTTTCCACCTAAACAGAACATCAGATCTTCCACACAACCATTGAGATCCTCATGATACACTAGTAACTGTTCCTAAGAACATTTTGATCAAAGAGCTGCCCAAACTATAAAATATAAATTCAACATCGCATCTATAGAACTAAATAAACATAGAGAGCCTTGTACAATAAACGCCTCTACACTGTGACCATATAACCTTCACCTCTTTGGAATAAACCAATTAGGACAATATGACAGCCTGAATTTGTATCAGCCTCTTTACAGGTCACGATGACTGATTTTCTTGCATCACCACACAGTATACATCATGTACACTATGATGGCCGAGAGAAGCAGGTGACATGTAGCCCTACATATTGTACATGTATCTTTCATAACAATATTAAATACAATTAACATCATGAATCTTGAAAAACAGCTTTCAAAAATGAAAAGTAAGAGATGTTTCTTGTGCTTTTGTACTGTAAACTAAATGTCAACATGTTTGTGTGTAGATACAGCAAATGTCAGGAAATCGTACACAACAACAACAATATCTGATCTGTCCACATTTCATGCATCAATATTTTTTAACAAACTTTGTTCAATAGTATTCCCAAATATGAAATCAAGAAACCATTATGTTACTGGAGGAATTACAACATCTACATAGTCATTGGGTTACAGATTTTAGAGGGAAAACACCTGTGGATACACCAATGCCAAAAAGACCTTGGTTGGTCATTTGGAAAAAAATAGAAAAACAGACAAATTTCAGATTTCTTTATTATTGTTAAGCAACTTTTTTCACAAACGTACGGCTTTATCAAGTAAATGCTGCAATTTTCTCTACACACATAATTCTTTGTGTACCAGTCAAAACAACCTGAACAATATTTTGCATATAAGAAAATAAAGATTGTACAAGAAAGTCAGTGGAGCCTTCCTGTGAAAGAAGTTTACTGTCACCTTCAGCTAAACGAGTCTAAATCAATGTAATTGTTGAATGTGACACGATACAAGCTACATCTTGCATCAAGGGACGAGGCAGGTTGGGGGACCGGTGTAACCAACAGCATCTACATTTCTAAGGAGCTGAGCTAAATGTTTACAGATTGGTTCGTTAAACACTAAAATGTTCCAGACTTAAGACAACACTAAATGCATAGGCAAAAGTGGAATGTGATTTTACAGGTTTCCAGGAAGTAACTACTAATATTGGATCACAAATTTCTAACATTTGACTCATGTGGATTTTCAAAAAGTCGTAAATGTTCACTCCTTTCAGCCATTCTTATCTACCTCATGATGTCAGAAGTCCAAAAAAGGCAAAAGTGTATGAAAGAAAAACATTTCACCTGTCAGTTTCCATACTAATCTTTCCAAAGTTCCCCAAAATGTAAAAGTATGAAGTTACCAGTGGTCTAAAACATGCCTGTATTCTATCTCCTCTTGTATAGGAAATTGTATAGTCATTACTGGCAATAGAAAAATTAGCAAACCAATAATCTCTTTCTTATCTACACAAAAAGGTAAAATGCTCATTCAATAGACAGTTTCATAAATAAATCAAGACATCTGACAAAAAAAAGAAAGAAATATCACTACCCAAAAGTTGAGAAAGACCCTCCATCTGCAGTAACCTGGGTGAAAATATCACAATACATACACAGGGAATGTCCCTGAAGGTAGGTCCCGCCATCAAGGGTGGACGTGATGACGCTGAATCTGTGTGGTTCAATTATACAAATACTCCTATTGTTTCCTATAGTGACACCTCAATCCCAGGGGACGGCACTGATCACCACTAGCGCCACCTGCTGGTAGAATCAGTCATCTGGGGGAAGGGCGTCCGGGTGGACGTACTGACATAGGTCAAGGTCATCTGCAACAAAACGCACCTTGCTGGCTGTGACATCATTCAACCTGAAATGAAAGTAAAAGAAGTCATATCATAACCATTGCAACCAAATGTGGAATCTGGAATGAAGCAGTCATGGCAGACAAGTGACATTACACTGATATTGCCTTACTGTTGCCACGGCAACAAAGTATGTGACAGCTGACTCAGATGTGAAAAGCTGGTTACCAGTGTATGAAATAAGCCAAAAATCCAGCCAGACATCAGGGTTGGTAACCTCAAAATGTTACCAGCCCAAATCGGATTTAACCAGATCAGACAATCCAAAGAAAATTACTCAGTTGTATGGAACATGTCACATAAAACTTTTCCAGACCATGTGACTATCGCCATAGCAACACAGTACACACCAGGCTTGAATAGCCCATGTGACTGTTGCCATAGAAACATATGGGGCATACTAGGGTTGTATTGCCAATCTGACTGTTTCCATAGCAACACATTACATATAAAGGTCTATGAAGCCATGTGACTGTTGCCATAGGAACACATTACCTACCAGGGTCGTATAGCCCATCTGACTGTTGCCATAGGAACACATTATATACCAGAGTCATATAGCCCATGTAACTGTTGCCATAGGAACACATTACATCAGAGTTTCCGCTGGAATTTTTTACAGCTGGACATTGTGACCGGCTAGCATTTCAAATACAGGTCATTTGTAAATTTTACCGGTCAAATGATCACGCTTTTCATTGTGCACAAGACCTTGCACCCTAACAACCAATCAGAAATGTAGAGGATGTTGCAATGCGTCAATGCTATTTTTAGCCTGTGGTTTTCCAAAACTGTTTTGTTTTTTATTTGACAACTCCTCGATGTCATTATGAAAAATGTAATTTTTAGAGTAAAATTGATATTTTATACTTATCCTGACTCATGCTCTTTTTGCTTGTCTTCTTCTTCTTGCGAACATAGTGGAACACTTGTATCTCCCTAATTGAAGCTCCCTTCAATGTAAAATCACTAATTAGTACTCAGCACGAGTTACCTCCCTTCCACGCGGGGAACGAGGGCGCCACCTCCACCCATGTGCCTCACTCTCTCCTCATATACTGAGCCCAACATTTGAATTTACAGGGAAATCCAAAGTGTTATGTGGGGAGGATGGGAGGGCTTACCTCATGAGTCAGGATAAGTATAAAATATCAATTTTACTCTAAAAATTACATATTTTCCTTATCCTGACTCATGCTCTTCTTGTAGACTCCGGCCGGAAAGGGAGGTGGGAAAAATATAATACTTTGGATTTTAATAATTAGTGATTTGAACTGTGATGATTGTAATAACCCTATGGGAACTTCATAAAGGTACTGAACTGATGAATTCCTGCTGCTAACTTATCAGCTGCCATATAAAGGTTATTACAAAGTACTTTATTATGATAAAGTATATATAACATTAATACAATGCTTAAGACTAATAGACTTAAGCTTGTTAATATGCTAGTATAAACTCCTTAGAGTTTGTTAGCTAAAATACTTTAAGATATAAACATAGTACTAAGCTTAAGATATGATTAAACTTAAGCTAATTATATAATAGCAAAACTCTTTAGAGTTTGTTAGTTAATATACTTATATGATATATATATAATGCTGAGCTTTAGATATGAATAAGCTTTAGCTACATATATAATAGCAAAACTCTGTAGAGTTTGTTAGCTAATATATTTTACAATATGAGTATAGTACTGTGCTTAAGATATAATTAACTTAAGCTACATATATAATAGCCAAAACTCTGTAGAGTTTATTAGCTTATAGATTAATAATGTAACCATAGTACTAAGCTTAAGATAAGATTAGACTTAAGCTAAATGTATATAGCAAAAAAAACTCCTTAGAGTTTATTAACTAATATACTTTTATGTTATAACCATAGTACTGAGCTTAAGATATAATTAAACTTAAGCTATATATATAATAGCAAAACTCATTGGAGTTTTGTTAGCTAATACATTTTATAATGTAACCATACTGCTTAAGATATGATGAAACTTAAGCTAATTGTATAATAGCAAAACCCTTTAGAGTTTGTTAGCTAAAATACTTATATGATATAAACCTAGTATTGAGTTTATGAAGGAAAACTTAAGCTACATATATAATAGCAAAACTCCGTTAGAGTTTGTTAGCTAATATACTTATATGATAAAAACATAGTATTGAGCTTAAGATTTGAAGGAAACTTAAGCTACATATATAATAGCAAAAAAAAAACTCCGTAGAGTTTGTTAGCTAATACAAGTTATAATGTAACCATAAAGCTTAAATTATGATGAAACTTAAGCCAAATATATAATGGCAAAAACTCTTTTAGAGTTTTGATAGCTAAAATACCTATATGATATAAACATAGTACTAAAAGCTTAAGATATGAATAAGCTTAAGTTACATATAACAAAAACTCCGTGGAGTTTGTTAGCTAATACATGTTATAATGTAACCATATTGCTTAAGATATGATGAGACTTAAGCCAAATAGCAAAAACTCTTTAGAGTTTGTTAGCTAATATACTTATATGATATAAACATAGTACTGAGCTTAAGATATGAATAAGCTTAAGCTACCTATATAAAGCCCAAACTCTGTAGAGTTTGTTAGCTATATATTTTTACAATCTGAGCATAGTACTATGCTTAAGATATAATTAAGTTAAGGTAAATATATAATAACCAACTCTGTAGAGTTGTTAACTTATATATTGTATGATGTAATAATCATAGTACTGTGATGATAAAAAAGAACTTAAGCAAATTATATATAGCATGTAGCTATTTAGTACTGTTATAAGATAAGTAGAAATCTGTGAGATTGACTTATCTTCTCCGAGGAACTGTCAACTGTAGTGCGAGGACCATGGGATCGAATTGGTGGATACCTGAGACGTCCTCGGTGATGATATCTCTCAGATAATGGTTGGCAACCACCATATCGGATCTCCAGAAAATAAACCCTCCATTATTTCAAATAACATTGTGTAGATCAATGCAGAAGTTAACGCTCTAATATCATGAGCATTAACAAGCTCATGGAGGGTCGGATTGGGTCCATCCAAACGGAGATATAGTACGTGAGATTTCATTCTGCGTAAGTTGATGATAGAGGAAATAATCTGTTGTATTATTCCCTTCTGTTTGGTTCGGTGGAGATAAATTTACAGTGCTCTTGCTGGCCATCGTGATAGAATCATCATATCATAAAGTCCAAGTATGTCATCCAGGCGTGTTCATAAACCTCACTTGTGAGGTGTTGGAGCACTATATTCAGATCCTCAAGTTGGAGGGTGAAACTTCCGTTTTAATTCTTCAATCAGAAAGTTTAAGTAGGTTTACTAACCATCTAGTTGTGTTAGTAGCTTGATTATGAAATTCAGCTGTAGTCTGAGGCGGCTGTGGATTTAGATCCACTTGTATCCCACGTCGTCTAGGTTATTAAGCTGCGAAGTCCTTGTGATGTAGGTGCACAACCAGGTGTGTCTGTCCTCGTTGAAGTTTATGTAAAATTGCCTGACTGCGTGCCCTCGTCCTAACTTGACAGGGGAGGTCTCTAACCTGAAGAAAGCAGCCCAATCATGAAGGTTCAGATTAACTGGACTGTAAGGAGGCTTGCTCGTTCACTGAAATATAGTTGTCACTTGTAGCGTAAGTGTTGACCTGTGAAGAAAGATCGACCTCTGCGTGAGTGGATTTGTCCAACAGCGGTCCAATCAGAACAAGGCATTTTGATTCTGTAGAATACCCAGCTGTGATGTCACCGGTGTAGCAGGAAAAACCTTGTATAAAATGTTGCCGTCGTTGATATTAGCATAATCGTCGGTCTTCACCGTAAGCTTCGAAGTTACCCGAGTGACCACGTGTTTGAGGGTTAAAAGGTAAGCGAAACCTCGGTAGCGAAATACCTCGCTCTGTAATATTAATGCTGGGTAGGTTATTTTCCTGGCTGTCGTGAAAGTAACTTCAGTTTTGAATATAATTCCGACTTTCTTATATAAAGGTACAATAAACTTGCAAGTTGTCAGCTTGTAGACTGTATACATGAATGTATCGTCATAATTGTAGAATTAAAGCTGAACTTGTTGTACATATTTCTTCTCAGAAACTTTGGCGATTATGAGTTATACTGCGCTGTAACAAGGCTGCTGTTCAATTTTCGATATTGAATTGTCTGCAGATCTGCGTAATGGTCGCATGTAGATACTGCGTATCGTAGTCGGGATTGCATATTCTAGCAATCTATCACGGAAAGGTTGATTTCTGTGAAGATCTATGCAACGTCGTTGATTAATTAATATAGCGGCGTTTGTGTTGTAAATAGCCTGTGCAATTGTCTTAGCGTGGAAAGGCTTATAGGCGACATATGGCATACAGTTGATAGACAACTTATCGCGATGTCTTGAAACGGACTGACGAGTAGCTATATATGACGAGTGGCTAATATATGGAGACCTTGGAGGAGAATTCCTCGGTGGGCGCCCGGAGATTTCAGCGAAGCTCGAAGTATCAATCTAGATTTCCTGTGTGAGGTAGACTTGGAGCCACTTAGCCTTAGCGACCTTGAAGGTATTGAGTCAGAGCCCGATCAGTATATATATAATATATGGCTTGCTTATGAAAGCGACCTCTGTGTTCAACAGGGTGAGTGAGTGTATTGTTTTACGCCCGCTGGTGGCGTAACTGGTGAGGCTCTAGCTCCCAGCGGAGGTGGCCTGGGACTTCCTAGGCGAAGTGTCGAAATCGATCAATATATGAGCGTTAGCTTCATACAGGGTGTGGTTCTTGCTGGTTCTGCATAAGTAGAGCCGAGTAGATCATCCTATCATCTTCAGAAGTCGGTGTCCGCGAAATCTGGTGATAAGAATCTCATTGATCGTTCTAGATCTATTAATGCCAACAACATACGCCTCTGGCGTTTGAACTATTATGGCTTTATGGTAGGCTGTGTCCACATACTGTGGCACCGCGGCAATCGAGTCGATTGGAGGTAAGGTGATGGCGTCTGCCTGCGTCTTCCTTTATCAGGTATGTCTGCGCCCGAGTTGCCACTCTTGGAAGGTGAAGAGAGATCTAGGTTGTTTACCATCCAATATAAGTATCTCAGCGTCTGAGAAAATGATGCCTCCATCATTTTCTATCCCAGCATCACTGATGAGAGGTTGATGCTCTTCTGATGGTGGACTGTGTATTTCTATCTCTATGTCGGGTGGCCTTCGGGGAGACCTGACTGTAGACTTGTGTGCAGACTTGTGTGGTGACCTGTGAGGCGATCGGCGTGGTGATGTACGAGGAGATGTCGGCACGCGGTTAACGGCGCGGAGATCGTGTTGGTGAACTCGTCTATCGTTGACCTTCTCGGAGACCTGTGAGGAGAATGTTGATAGCTTAGCGAAGCTCGTGTAGTCAGGTGTCGCCAGCGAAGGCTTTAGCGAAGCCCTTCAGCTTCCTCTGCGTCGGTCCTGGGGAGCGGCGATTTGACCTTCGCGAAGGCTTCCGTGAGGTCTGGCCGGTCTGAGTCGCATCTAGGGATGAAGCGAGGAATGTGATGATCTATCCGCCGAAGGCCTTCCAGCGAGCTGTACATCTGGGTCGCCGTGGAAGTGGTCTGCGACTTCCTTCAGCGAAGGTGGCTTCGTCGTGGCTGCTACGCTGATGGGGGTGCCTCTGGGGTTATCGTCTGCGTTGGAACCTTCAAGGTTCGGCCTTGGGCTGGCTGCTTCCCAGTCTGTGGTGGCCCTCCATCATGATCATGATTTGCGCAACAGTTCATCTGGGATGGTCTGCGGCAATTAGTCGGTGCCCTCTCTCGCGATGTTAGCGGCGGGACCCTCAGGGAAGTCGTCTGACGTCAGTGTAGAGACATCAGGCTGCATGGCGATCTCTGCTGATGTCACTGTAGCTGCCTCCGGTCGCTTCTTGTGGCGTACGTCGGGAATGATGATCAGCTGATCATCGTAGACGCCCAGTTCAGCGGCTGGAACAATCTCGGTTGAGAAAGTCCTAGTAGACTTCGTTGATTTCCCCTCAGAGGTCGACGCTGCCCTGGGGGTGCGAAGTCTGCGTTGAGTGTTGGTAGCGACGGGACCCTCATGACATCACTGTTGCCGACATCGGTCATTCTTTTGATGTACATCAGGTATGATGATCGGCTGATCATCATACAGGCCCAAATCTGCGACGGGAACAATCTCGGCTGAGAAAGTTCAAGTAGACTTCGTTGATTTCCCCTCAGAAGTTGGCGTTGAGATGTAGAAAAACTCTAGTCTTAATGCGGCGATGGGATGTCTGGGGAAGCAGGACACTTCTTGGAGGCGGCGGACTACGTCCCACGCCTCTCCACCACTCTAGCGGAACACCAGACGGGAGCGGGGTCGACCAACAGCAGTAGACTGGCGAGGGTTCAGGTGTCTCAGTCATGGCTAGACTCTGCATCTGCGACCTATCTGCTGCGGCGTCTCAAACGCATAAAAGTAATTATTTATTAAAGGCAGAAATGGATAAATTAGTACGCAACTGCAGCGTGAATAAAATGAACATGGTAGCGGTACAACTAGGGCATATTAAATGCGGATCAGCAGCAGAATAAAAAGCGTAATCTGCAACAGAACAGAATTTTTATCAAGCGTAATCCACTGAAACAAACCACGGCGTCCGTGAATAAACAGTAGAAACGACTAAATATCAATATATAATTGTTGAAGGATACTAGCTAAACCTCTATAGATGTCTATCACGAGGTAACTAACTAAATATAATCAAAGGATATAGTGTGTCGGGAGACACAGGTGCTCTCACGTCCAGCTCACTGGGCGAAGAAGGAGAGAGTGAGGCACATGGGTGGAGGTGGCGCCCTCGTTCACGCGCTTGTGGAAGGGAGGTAACTCGTGCTGAGTACTAATTAGTGATTTTACATTGAAGGGAGCTTCAATTAGGGAGATACAAGTGTTCCACTATGTTCGCAAGAAGAAGAAGACAAGCAAAAAGAGCATGAGTCAGGATAAGGAAAAATCGTAATCTTTTGTGATGAGAAAAAAAATTGACAGAGGTAATTAGAAAATTGATTTTAAAATTTGCCGGACACGATGACCGACAGCCTTTGAAGGACACGATGACCGACAGCCTTTGAAATTACTGGTTCAAGTCCGGTTCATACCGGATAACGGAAACACTGATTACATACTAGTCGTATAGCCCATCTGACTGATGCCATAGCAACACATTACCTACCAGGGACGTATAGCCCATCTGACTGTTGCCATAGCAACACGTTACCTACCAGGGTCGTATAGCCCATCTGACTGTTGCCATAGCAACATGTTACCTACCAGGGTCGTATAGCAGCCCAGCAGCCGGAGAACATCATGGGTGAGTTGATGATGAGGCAGACGCCCAGACGCTCGGGGTAGTTCTTGCTGAGGAGCCAGATGAGGTTCTTGATGAACTGGTAGTCCATGCAGCTGAGGGTGAAGCCCTTCAGGTCGAAGATGATGCACAGACTGTCAATGACATCCTCGTTACACTTCTTACAAGCTGTCTCCTGGAAACACACATTGCTGCGTACAGCCACTGTTGTCGTATGTCAAGTCAACCATAGTCCAGATTTATCATAGTGACCTCATAACAAATACTACTACACTTGTAGAGCACCTGATATCCACCCAAACATACTCAGTGGTGACAGGGTTGAAGTGTCAAAACATTGATAATGTGAAGTACAAACAATGGGTACATCAGACAATTCTTCTTAAATACAGTCGCAAAGAGGCGAGAGTTTAGGAGGGACTTGAAAGTATCCTTGGAAGAAGTATTTCTGATTTCTTAGGTGGTAAGTCCCAAAGCTTAGGGCTACAGAAACAGAAGGCATGGGCAGAGAGTGATTGGTGATATCAGTTTATTTAGTAGCGTATCACTGAAGGATATATAAGCCATGTCCCACATTGTCGGGAACAGTGACACAATCATCCAAGTCAGACACCCACCTGATCCCATACAGACTAACATAGGCAGAGGTTTAGGAATCACAGTCAAATAAAGTTGATACGAGGCGTATCCTGGACACCTGTTACAAACTAATACATATTTAAGTCAGTTGTTAACCAAAATAGACACAGGAACATATGGTTGTAGTTAAACCAGGGGATTGCCAGTTTTGTCACAGATGTCCTCAACATGTCATATAACTTTTCTCGGGCCTTGAATGCTCTAAACCTGACAAGCTATTGATCAGTCAGGTGTCTGCATGATCACATCTGTTGTAGTCATCTGGAGCAAACCACTGTCTGACATTACATACTGGAAACTGTGGGGATGTAAATTCTTGACATACATACCAGTATATAGACGATGAATCTGGTAAACTTGTCGATGTCCCTCTCATAGACGTTGTGTTTCCTGGCGGCCACATGCACGACGGGTCTGAAACACAACATGTCACTCTGACACCAGTCTCTCTCTCTGACTGCTGACAAGACACACTGAAAGGGCAAATCTGGGATTCTCACCCAACATCATAGGCACCTGACATTTCAAGGGAAGCAACTCTGCAAACAGTACACATCACACATGCTACATACTGATAACACAAGGGGAGTGATATTGGTCTCTTCCTAATGTGGAACTATAGCTCTTGATAGTCATTCAACAAAGGCTTTTCAGAAACCTGGGACTATTCTATGTTCTTGTCATACAGCCTCTTGTGTCACTTTCATCAGTTCATTCAAACCAGGAAATATTTCAAATTTTCTCCCACTATCTCTGCTGAACTGATGAACCACCATTACTGACAATAGAGGCTGCTTACCTCCCCTTGGAGTCACGCTGCCGCAGGATGTGAACTTTGCCTGTGGCAAGTTCATTCATGACATCTTCATCCTCCGGTGTCAGACTTGCCACGCCAAACTCTCGGCGCCACTTGTTGCATTTCAACAACTGCTTGAACGCTACATCAACATCTCCAAAAGCTTTCAGGAAACGTCGCAGGGAGGAATCTGTGTGTGCCTGCAAAAAACATGAGGATAAGTCACCTGTCTCTTGGTGAGCTGCACATCACTGGGGCAGCATATTCAACAATGTATCAGGTCAGGTTACATATTATCATCAGAATGAAAAGAAGGCAAAACATTAGGCCAGTAGAAACTGCATTGAACCTAGACATTTCTGATAACAGGCTAAATTTGTGTCTAACCTGACCAGAAGGGTGTTATTGAGCTTGGCAGTTGACAACCGTTTGTTTACATAGCAACGGTGATTTCTTCCTACAACTGCATTCGTGTAGTTTGCTGAAAACAAAGCTTTGGGCCTTTTTTCGGACACTCTCAAAAAACATATTTCCCCCTTCTTGATTTTTCTTGGGTTTTGTGTACATGATGAATGAACAGTTTTCTGCAATAACTTGCTTGTTATCACAAATGTCAAGGTTATTCTAGTTTCATGTTGATTTCTACTGGCCTACATATTTCAGACTGACAGTTTTAAAACATAAATAGATTTCTTTATAAACGATCTATTGCTGGGCAGACATAAGTATCAATCAGTAGCTCACCCATAAAGGCAGACGGCAAAATATACAGGTATGACTGACTGACTTAGTTTGGTTTTATGCCGCTTTTAGCAATATTCCAGCAACATCACGCGGGGGACACCAGAAATGGGCTTCACACATTGTACCCATGTGGGGATTCAAACCCGGGTCTTCGGCGTGAAGAGCCAACGCTTTAACCACTGGGCTACCCCACCGCCCCTATACAGGTATGATGTACATTTGATACAATGTCTGGTGACTGTGAAGGTCTCACAGAAATGTGGACAGTTCACACAGAAGATTGACCGTAACACATACCAAGGATTATACTAACCTGGGAAGGATCTGCTTCAAACAGAATCTGAAAACAAAATAAGAAACATACCATGAAACATAATACATATGTTCAGTGTTACACTAGCATATACAGGCATCCTTTGGGAGCATGAAACAGAAATTTCATATGGAGAACCAACCAGATTATAGCTGTACTACTGGCCACTATCTCTTCTAGTTCCAACCCACTCCTTGGTTGGCTATGTCCTGCAGGAAGTCAATTATAACAGCACTTACAATGCTCAGAAAATGAATATTACAGACACGTACCTACCTCTAAATGTGATAAAATAATGAAGATATTATTACACTTCCACACTGAACTGAAGAGCTCTCACCCTGCTCAGACACATGATACCATGTCCAGTGTAACATACAGCATCACCAAACGCTGACCTATCAATCGTGGTACATAACAGATTCCATTATCACACAGACAGCATATGTTTTGTTTGTATTTGAGGTATATGAAAGCAATCCCCTTGGTTGCCCATTACGACATGCCTGAGCTACTGAAGACCAGTTCTAACCCATGCCTTCATAGGGTACTACACTGCTGTTTCATCCAATACAGAATATTTAGGATACCCAAATAGACGAAAATAAAATAATGTGACAGATGTTCTCTCACACAAAACATTTATTGTTGTCATGAACACAGCACAACAGGAGGAATGAACCCAGTCCTCCCAGGTGATGAGTGAGCACTCAACCTGCTTGGCTATCACAACACCAACAATGGAAAAATGTCCAATGAACCAGTACAGTACAGGACATGTGTGTCTCCAGTACTTAATGGTCATCATTTACAGAATGCTAGTGTTGATAATCCTCATCACCATGGCCTGGTATATTGACACATGGCACAATGTCAGTAAGTACTTACATCTGTATTGTGACACATATAGAGAATCTCACCCAAATATCTACTGATATTAATTATATCAACACAAGTTGATAAAGTTACAAATTTCCGAGGCTTGCAGAGGATATTTTTACCTTTATCAACGAGTGTTGATATAACTGATATCAGTAGACACGAGGGTGAGGTTCTATTCATCATCAAACATCATTCTTCATTAGTTTTCAATGAAAAATGTACATCTCTCAACACTGTACTACCATTAGACTTGCAGTGCAGCGATGTCATAGCATTGTGACGTCATCAAGTTGATGATGTCATAGCATTGTCACAGCATTGTACAAAATCTACTGTCAAATGATATCTCCTGTGGAACACAGTTTTGGATGATAAATAGCCTTAATCTCTCCCTGATCTCTGTCACTAATCATGTCCACACGTCCATACATCCATATGTCCCATGTCCATACATCCATATGTCCCATGTCCATACATCCATATGTCCCATGTCCATACATCCATATGTCCCATGTCCATACATCCATATGTCCCATGTCCATACATCCATATGTCCCATGTCCATACATCCATATGTCCCATGTCCATACATCCATATGTCCCATGTCCATACATCCATATGTCCCATGTCCATACATCCATATGTCCCATGTCCATACATCCATGTCCCATGTTTATACATCCATATGTCCCATGTTTATACATCCATATGTCCCATGTCCATACATCCATATGTCCCATGTCCATACATCCATATGTCCCATGTCCATACATCCATATGTCCCATGTTTATACATCCATATGTCCCATGTTTATACATCCATATGTCCCATGTTTATACATCCATATGTCCCATGTTTATACATCCATATGTCCCATGTCCATACATCCATATGTCCCATGTCCATACATCCATATGTCCCATGTCCATACATCCATATGTCCCATGTCCATACATCCATATGTCCCATGTCCATACATCCATATGTCCCATGTCCATACATCCATATGTCCCATGTCCATACATCCATATGTCCCATGTCCATACATCCATATGTCCCATGTCCATACATCCATATGTCCCATGTCCATACATATATACGTCCCAGGTACAGAGTAATGTCACTGTCTCTTCATCTGTCCATCAATGTCCACTGCTCTAGATGTGCATATAGTGCTAGTCAGCCTGGTCTTCTAGCTCCATGTGTTGGGTCGACCTTAAGTTTGACCTCTGCTCAACTCACTTGTTTATGCCTGAGCTGGAAACTCAGCTCATCGTTGTCCTGGTGATTTCTGTCCATGTACTCCGCACACAGAGTATTTGGTGGTTATTATTTATATCTTGTGTATTAAACGACCCTGACAGTGATTGCCTTGTTTCCAAATAGAGCTGACTGTCAGTGTACACGTTGACAAAATAAAATAGTTTCATGTATAATAAGTGGTAACAGTTACCCCACCAGTGGATGCAGTGGCCAGAGCAAGGAAGATTAGAAGTTCGGTTCCCATCCTCGCCAAACCAAAAGACATAAAGATGGTGCTTTTTGTTACTCTGCCCCAGCATTGGAGGATAAAACAAGACTGATCGGCTCTGTCAGAATACAGTGAGTGAGTTTGGTTTTACGCCACTTTCAGCAATATTCCATCAATATCATGGCGGGGGACACCAGAAATGGGCTTCACACATTGTACCGGGTCTTCAGCATGACGAGCGAATGTTTTAATCTCTTGGTTACCCCACCGCCCCATCAGAATACAGTGTCTGAGTTGGGTATGCATAATAAACTGTGCCATTTCATCTCATTGGGCTAGCACTACAGAAACAGCATCGATACAGACAAGTATAAACACATGCACAGATTGCACATACTAAACAATAACTGTCACGTGACATGCCAGAATGTATGTTATACATTTCAAGTTCAAGCAGACTATTTGTATGTTCACATCACACAAACTATCCAGCAATAACCCTTCCCCCATCCCCAACCTTATAAATGTCATACCCCTCATCAACCAGTGCAGCTGGTATATACCGCAGGCTTACACTCTCACACCACTGAGTGGCATTCCCTTCAGGAACTACAACACTAACATGCAAGGTTCAGTACATTCAACTACATATCAATTACTCTCATAATGGATGAAATAGGCACACATATTGCCTATCCATCAATAGGGCCAGTCATCTGTGACACAGGGCCCTTACTGAGGACAATAACTACAAATATGTCCCCCATACAACAGGGGATGGTCAAACGGGACAGATGGCTCGAGGTATTATTCGTCCAAGTATTACTTATCCAGAATAAGGGCTGATAAGCAATAAGACTGGGCCCTGCCACAGTATACTAGTATTATTAACACATGTCAACAAACAACACTGGTATTGCCATCAGCTGTGAAGACATGTTCCTGTCCAGTGGGAATTGGACTAATTGTAGCAATAATTGATAATTGATCTCATCTGTTCTTGCACGTTGGCCACAACCGATGTTTGGCGGTGCAGTGGAGGGTGTAATTCCTTTATGGTCACCAAGCCAGTCTGCTAGATAGGATGGTATACATCATACATCTCTCTAACTTTCAGTTTAACAAAACACAGGCAGTACAGATTTCCAGTACTGGAAACTGTAACAGAACATTGAGCAGCCATATTGTCTGGCCACAGACTATAAAGGGATTCTGGTCCGACTGAGTGATACACTATCTACAACATATTGTTAGGAGAAAACATAAGCTCAACAGAGTATCATGCATTTCTTTTAACAACTTAACATTTGAGTAGATATCTTGGAGTGGTATTTAGCTTCTCAATGATAAACAACTTCCTTATTGCCATGGAGGTGATATTTTGGCTGTATGCTTGATAAACCAAGTCACCACGCCTGACCACCTGATCCAGCAGGTCGACCTCCACAGGTTGCTGGAGTGTCTGCCCCAGGACTCCACTGGGTTCCAGGTATGAAGGGCTGCATTTCCTGTCACATGTATGATGTTGTCCCCTTGACGATAGCAGAATTTCTGCAACACTGTGGGGTGTTGTAATGTCAGGTCATGAGTTCTTCACATCCCCGCAACAATGCCCACAAATTACACACAAAAACTTGTTTGATGCACTGCCCAATATTCTTCAGTCCGATATTAATATTTTGAGCACAATTTTGTCCAACCACTGTGTCTCAGATATCGATAAAAAACTAATGCAAAATGTCAAGAATAAGTCTTTACCCACTTTCACAATAAATATTTATTTTTCATTTTACAAAAACCCTATTTCCTGGTTGTTTCATATTAAACTTTTACAAAAATGTACTTACATAAGAATGCAGACATCGTACCCTTCTTGCATGAAGTAAGAACAGAAAACATTTCCACTCAAATGACCCAAAAAACGTTAAGCCTCTAAAAAATAACAATGAGTGACACAAATATTTACTTATAACTGAAAACATGGCAGAATGTCCAGATTGAGCAAAAATCTGACACTGAAGCTTATGACATTCTCCTCCCAAGAAGAGTGAGTGATGAGTGAGTGAGTGAGTGAGTGAGTGAGTGAGTGAGTGAGTGAGTGAGTGAGTGAGTGAGTGAGTGCAGTTGTATGCCGCACTCAGCGATATTCCAGCTATATGGCGGCAGTCTGTAAATAATCAAGTCTGGACCAGGCAATCCAGTGATCAACAGCATGAGGATCAATCTACGCAATTGGGATATGATGACATGTGTCAACCAAGTCAGCGAGCCTGACCACCCAATCCTGTTAGTCGCCTTTAATGACAAGCATGGGTTACTGAACGACTAATTCTAAACCGGATCTTCACGGGCCCTCCCAAATAGAAAACTGAAGACACGATGTGATCACATTTTGCCTATGGCTGTGTTTAAAGCTGATTCAACAACATTCCTGCTGTAAGGAAGCAGCCTGTCAAGTCTAGACCAGATGATCCAGTGACAGACATCAAGAGTATCAGTCTCATCAGTTGGGATATGGTCCATGAACAATCTGACTGTTACTGAATTATATCAGATCACTGATTTACCTGAAACTTAGGTTAAACTTCTTGGCAAAACTGACTTGTTTTGACTTCACCAATCTGAAGAGAAATTCAGATTCATATGTATAAAGGAACAGTTGTGAACAAAGG